GGCTGGTGGACGTTGACCATAATTCACCACAATACAACATCTTCCCTCCTACTTCCTCCCAAAAGTCACCTCTTCCCTGTGTCCATCCCCGAGGCTGTAAATCTTTATGGAAATAGATTGTCCTGTCTTCCTTCTGTGGAGTGACAAGTGGGTTTGAACCGCTGACTTTCTGGTTAGCAGCCAAATGCCTTATCAACTATGCCACCAGAGCTCCTTCCTATAAAGATTACAGTTTAGGGAACCGTATGGGGCAGTTCTACTCTGCCCACTCAACACCTATCAACATGCAAAGCGTTTAGGACTGTGCCTGGCATCTAAATGTTAGCTATTGTTACTGCCTCGCCCCCTGAGACTTGATCTTTGAATCAACTAATCTTTGCTATTTACAAATAAGGAAGGAAGCTCTTAGGCTTTTTGATCCTGGCAACTATCCAAAGGAATCCAGTGCCTCGGAAAGGCCATTACCGAGCGGGAAGGCGCCACGAAGGGAGTCCCACAGCAGAGGCTGCGGGAGCCCCGCGCAGAGCGAGAGGAAGGTGCCAGGCTATCAACTGTGGCTCTGAGGCCTGAAAGCTCGAACCACCTCCGAGAGGGGGTGTAAGAGGGCTGGGAGCCCTCGACGACCAACCTGTCCAGCTCCCGAGTGTCCACCAGAGGGCGACAGGAGCCGCGAAACGGGGCGAGCGTGGGTGGGAGGAACGCCCTGGCCAGCGTGTCCCGGGGCGCTGTGGGTGTGGCCCTGGGTGTGAGTCCGCCCGGCCGCGAGCCCAACGTGAGCTGCGTAGCGAGGCCTGCGAGTCCCCAGCGCGTTAAGATGCGCGCGCGCAGGCGCTCGTATGGTGGTCCTTACCCCCAAAAAGCCCGCTGGCCCCGGTGTTGTGTCAGAAATCGTGTATCCAGGCTGAGTGCACAATGGCGGGCGGAGAAGGCTGGGCACGTTGGACAAGCTCGAGCACGCACACACCCTCCCGCCCCAGGGCTTGGTTCCCAGGCCCCGGCAGAGGGCGACGGGAGGGAGGGATGTCCCGCAGGGAGGGCCCGGGAGTAACTTTTTTTCGGAAAATATGTCGGTCTGGCCCCCAGCCCGGGCCTGAGTCACTAGGCTCGGCTGGATTGAGTCATAGACTCCACCCCTGCCCCTGGGAACTTGGAAGGGATCCCCTCCTCCTGCTCAGAGCCTTCCTTCCCTTGGGGGCGCGACCCCCACCACAGCCCCGCCCCCCAAGACAGGCCGACTCCGAAATGGGAAGAAGCCTTGGCTTTATTCGCTCTGTGAGGGCACAATTCGTTCACGGGTTCCTCCTGGGCATGGGGCGAGGGTCCATAGTGGGCTGGGAGTCCCCGTGGGCAGCCTAGACGGGGCAGCGTCTCCACTGTTTCCTGTCATCTTTCCACGGGGTCCCCTCGCCAGGCTCAAGCGCTAATATGTCGTGAAGGCAGCAAAAGGCGTGGGGGCTGAGAAGTCCCTTTAGGGAGGGGGCGGGCTGTAGCACCGAGAAACCCCACCCCCCACGACATTCCTGAAACGCGGGCTGAAATACGCACGGGGACTTCAGTATCTGAGAAAGGCTCTGCTTAAATATGGATTGACGCCTGGCGCAGAAGCTGTATCCCAGCGGAACAGCAGCTGTGCGGAGCCTGCAGGGTGGGGGTGGAGGGCGGTCCGGGGACAGGCTGCGCGTCAGCCTAGGCTGGGCGGGGCCTAAGACCGAAAGACCTCCCAGGGGAGGGGCGTTCAGCCCCAGCGGGGCGAGGACGGACTGTATTTGCACGGCTTCCTTGGGGGTGGGCGTGGCCAGACCCAGGGGGCGGTCCCGAGCCGGGATGCGGGGTTGAGGAACGGCCAGCTGAGGTTGTAGGCTGTGGCGTCGCGCCCTCTGAGCCCGCTGTAGTCCCGAAACCTGAGGATAGGGTGAGACGGGGTCCGTGCCTGGCTGGGCAGGAGGAAGTGGGCCAGGGTGGTTTGCCAATTAGTCATTTCAATGAAGTGGCCATTCACTGGTGGGGAGACGCAAGGGGGGTCTTCCCAGGTCAGGGGTCACACGTGTTAGGGCTGGGTGTGTGCGCATGTGCGCGCGTGTGTGTAGTTATGGCGGTGCCCTCGCCTCCTGTAATCTCTGCAGGCAGACACATTTTGTCCTCTGCTCTGATCCCCAGAGCTTAGAACAGGGCCCCGGCACAGAGTAGGGGCTCAATAAATACTTGAATGACTGAGGAATGCATGGCTGGCTCTGTGTGTGTTTGTGTGTGTGTGTTCGTGTGATGTGTGCCTACAGTGTACGTGAGGGTGGAGGTTCAAGGACAGGAAGGGGTGGTCGGAGAGGTCTTGCCCCGCCCCCGGTCCCCACTAGATGCTATAACCCAGGTATCTGGGAGTAGGGGGCCGGGAGATGCCCTGGTCCTTACAGCTGGGCAGGATGGGCAGGCCGGGGGTTCTGTGGGCCAGGGAGGCGGCATGCGTGCGGCTGACCAGGGCTGGGGAGCCCCAGCAGGGCAGGCGGCAGGGAGGCCAGTGGGCAGCAGAGGGCTCACTCGGCAGAGCCCTTCTGGCGCCGTTTGGAGGGCGGCACGAGGCGGCGGGGCAGGTTGGCGGGCAGCCCGTGGCCTTCAAGCTTGGCTTCGATGAGGTGGCTGGCCAGGGCAAACTCCTCGTCATCCAGCATCCCGTCACGGTCAACGTCGCTCAGCTTCCAGATGCGGCCCAGCACCGAGTTGGGCAGCTTGGTGCCCACCATCCAGGTCTTGGCCTTGGAGCCGCTGAGCTTGCCGTCGGCGGGTGCCAGGTTGTAGAAGATCTCGTCGTACTTGGACTTGTCCTTGGTCACCACCCACTCGGCCTCATCATCCGAGCCCTCCTCGCCGTCTTCCAGGGCCTCGTCGGGCCCCCGCTCCACGAAGGGGCCCATGTGGGTGCCCTCGAAGGCGCCGCCCTGCACGCCCACCTCGGTGCTCTCCAGCTCCTCCTGCCTCAGCAGGGGCATGAGCTTGGCGATGTCGTGCGTCAGCATCTCGTCCAGCGCCTCCAGCAGCTTCGGCTTCAGCGAGTGGAACTTGGTGAAATCGTGCACCATGAGCAGCTCCTGCGGGGGCCAGACGGGGAGCACCGAGGAGTCAGGGCCACCAGCCCTGGGGCCGTGTGGCACCTGGACACTAGGAAGCTCAGGGCGGCCACTCTTTACCGACAGGTGTGCAGGCCACGGCCCCTGGGCTCTGGCCACTCCCAAAAGACTTGGGCATGAGGGTCCCGGAGACCTTTCTGCTGTAGCAGGCTTGTCCCAGAATTACTGCGTGGTAACCGGAAGGCTGGCTGTTCAAACCCGCCCAGCCACTCTGCAGGAGAAAGACCTCGTGATCTGCGCCCATAAAGATTAGCCAAAAACCAAGCCCACTGCTATGAAGTTGATTCCAACGCTTAGTGACCCATCAGGACACAGCAGAACCACCCCCTTAGGGTTTCCAAGGCTGCCAAGTTTTATAGACGCAGATGGCCGTATCTTTCTCCCACGGGTTTGAACCACCGACCTCTCGGTTAGCTGCCCAGTACTTAACCACTGTACCACCAGGGCTCCTCCTATGAAGATTACAGCCTAGCAAACCCTATGGGCAGTTCAACCCCATCAGAGGGGGTCGTCACGAGTCAAAATCGACTTGACGACACAAGGCGAGAGGCTGAGAAGGTGCATGTTGGCACTCCACTGCTAACGCAGAGGCTGGTCGTTTGAATCTACCTCGTGGCGCTGCAGAAGAAAGGCCTGGTGACCTTCTGAAGAAAGATCACAGCCACTGAAACCCCTGTGGTGCACGGCCCTACTCTGACACCCGTGTGTTCACCATGGGTTGGAATCCAATCGACAGCAGCCGGTTGTTTTTCCATTTTGTTATTTTGCAGTTGGGGGCTTCAGATGACCCTGGGCACTTGCAGTTTCCCAGCTGGCAGAGGAGGATTTCAGTAGTGTAACATCGGACCGGCTTTGCCAGGGCGCCCCCACGGGCCCTCAGCCCTGCCCACCCTCCAGCCAGCACCCTCACCACCAAACACGTCCAGTCAGTGACATCTCTGCCCCTCGGGTCACCGCCACCCAGAAACGGCTGATTGGACTGCTGCCACATTGGAAGATTGGATTTGGCACGGCCTGATTGTCAGGGGGGCCTGTTAGGGACTGAACTGTTGTTGTTGTCAGGTGCCGTTGGGTCAGCTCCAACTCATAGCAACCCCACGTACAACAGAACCAAACCCTGCCCGGTCCTGCGCCAGCCTCACCATCCCTGCTGCACCTGAGCCCATTGTCGCAGCCGCTGTGTCAATCCATCTCCTTGAGGGTCTTTCCCTTTTTCGCTGACCCTCCACTTTACCAAGCATGATCTCCTTCACCACCTCGCACTGAATTGTGTCCCCAAAAAGATACGTGTTATAAATCCTACTCTAGCTGTCACTTCCTTTGTTATGTTAATGGACAGTGTTAGTGTAGGGGGTGTTTTAAGTCAATCTTGGGAGATACAAAGAGCAGATGAAGTAAACAGCAAACAGGCAGGGACAGAAAAGGCCGATGCTACGCGGAGGTCACCGAGGAACAGGGAAACAGAGGCTGC